CATCCTCCCAAATGTCTGCCTTCTCTTCCTCCCTGGGGAAGTCAAGCAAGACCAGTGTTGCCACAGGAGCTGCTCAAGGTCAGGAATAGGACCTGGTTTCTCCACGGGCATTGTCCATGGCCTACAGCCTACAGCCTGGCAAATACCAGCACTGTGGACTGATGACTGTTTGGCAAATCTGGTTCCCACTAAGATGCCAGGAAAGAGGCCCAAGAGGTTCATGTGGCAAAGTCGGACTAGACATGAGCAGATTGACAGAAGTCCCAAAGAACAGAACTAGTCCCATGGCTCTGATGCCCCTGGTGGGTTTGAAAATATCCAGGGCTCCCTTGGTGCTGGGGTAAGGTCAGGGCATAGCCCTTGCTTTCCAGTGTTCCTAAAAGAAGATAAAGTCACACTATCAAATAACAAATGCCTCATCAAAGCACAACCCAGAGAGCAGCCCAGTTCTCCCAACAGGAAACTGGCCAGTAATGACAGTATTATAACTATGATGACGAGGAAGGGAATGCTAGCCAACCATCCCTCTCCCTGCCCCCGGCCTCTATCAGTGTGAGGGTAAGCCCAGGAGGCAGGAGTGCAGAGCAGCTGAGGGCAAGGCCTCTGCCCTGTTGGAATAGCCTGGGCCTGCCCCTTCCTAGCCTGTGAGCTGTGATGAGGAATCAGTGAGGGTCTTAGGCTGCACACAGCCCTGGACAGTGCCTGGCTCAGAGTGAGTGCTCGACAAGCTTAAGCTGTCATTAGTATTCTTGCTAAAAACCTGAAAACTGACCCTAGAGGTAAGCAGTGGAATTCTGCCCATGTTGTGGGTGAAGAGACCAAAGTTCAGAAAAATTCATTAACATGTCCAGATCATACAGCTGGAACAGGAGAACAGGCAGGGCTGAGCTCCAAGCCCAGACAGGCTGAGCCCAGAGCCCTTGCTTTGAAGCTCTATTTTATACGACTCCTTAGCAGGAAGCTACTCAGGGCAAACTGACTCAGGAGCATTGTTGCCTAGAACTCCTGACACCAAGACCAAGAGCTGGGACAATGCTGGAACAAGGAGAAGGAAGGCAGAGAATGCTGGTGGAGGGAGCAAGGAAGAAATAGACATGAGAATATTAGAAGATGTGATAAGAGGGATAAGGAACCTATCACACCTCTGTCTTGCCCCATCCCCTCCCTAGGTGAGAAGGGCTGACTCTGCGTGAGACTTGAGTGTCAGACAGGGTCTTGGTGCTGACCGCTCAACCCTGTGCCTAAGGACAGCCATTCAGCCTCCCTGACAATTTCCTGTGATTTAGTCTGGGTCTGAGGGCACCTCCTCATCTGGCCAATTCAGGGTAAAAGAATTTGGAAAGCTCAAACACTCAAGAAGTTTAGTTTTTGGTTAGAGACAGCGTCTTGCTCTGTCACCTAGGCTGGAGTGCAGTGGCACAATCACCATCACTGCTCACTGCAGCCTCAAACTCCTGAGCACAAACGATCCTCCCACCTTAGCCTCCCCAGTAGCTGGGACGACAGCCCTGCGCCACCACACCAGCTAATTTTGTATTTTTTGTAGAGACAGAGTCTCACTGGTTGCTCAGCCTGGTCTCAAAGTCCTGTGCTCACACAATTTTCCTGCCTCTGCCTCACAAAGTGGTGGGATTACATGAACCGCTGCATCTGGCCAAGAAATTTAGTTTTTAAAATAACAATCAGTAAAATAGGTTAAAACTTTTCAGTCAAACCTGTCAGGTGGGATGAAAATTTGGGAAAGCCAGACCACATTATTTTCAGTTAAGTTCTGTGAAAACTTCTGCAAAATCAATCAGAAACTCCATCAGTTCATCTCAAAGCCCTGGGAGTCTAGACAGAAGTTCAGGCTTCGCATGTACTGGGGTGGTTGGTTGGAAATTTGGTGAGGTTGGTCCAAAATCCAGCAAGGTCAATCCAAACTCTGGATCAGCCCAAAGTTCAGTGCAGCAAGGTGAAGTCCAAGCGGTGTAGTCAAATATTTAGTCAGATCCATCATGATGTCACCTCGACCATCTGGGGTTGAGTAGGCCGTCAGGGGTGGGACTGGGTTTATGACGGGCAGACAGAGAGGCAGAGGACTGGCAGTGCGCACAGGCCTGGGAACCCAAGTGGAGACTGAATGGTACTTTCTGGGGGTTTCCAGAACCACCTTCAGCAGGATCCCAGCCTGGGAGATGGTGAAGCCAAGAGTAGTGCACAGTGCTCCCAGACGTGTCCCTGCCACTTCCTGGAGGAGACCTGAAAGGCTACTCTGTTGATTCCTACAACCCCAGTGCATTGCTGAGCTGCCATCCTTCTAATGCCAGCCCCTGTCCAGCCACTGGACAGCCAGCCAGTGTGTCCTGGCCTAAAGGACAGCAGCTCTGTGCACATGTAGCACATGCTTGTCCCCACACGGCCTGCCTGTCTGTTCTCCCACGCTCCTTTCCCTCTCTGGCCAGAATCAAGCAGGCAAAGCCAACAGCTGGCCCGGTGCCCTGGTGCATGGAGGTGTAGCTGGGCTCTGACCCAGCTCCTCAAACAGGTTCCATATGGCCCTCCTGGCTGCCCCCACTCCCCTTCCCTACCTTGACTGTTTCTGAGATTAAAACCCTTTCCTGGTTTCCCAGCAGTGACAAGGAGGGGCTGCCATACTGCCGTTGGGGCTGAGCTGGTGTGGAATACTCATCAAAAGGTTAGCCGGAGGGGGACGGATTTGCTGGGCAGTTGGGTGAGGGGGCATGGAGGTGGGCACATGGCTTGAGCATGGGAGAGACCTCGGTCTGTCCCCGCAGCCCAGCTGCAGCCTCGAGAAGCTCCTGAGTGTCTGACGTTGGCATCTCTTTTTTTTTTTTTTTTTTTTTTTATATCTATACAATTAAAAGTTGCTTTTACTGTAAAATGTTGGAGAGAAAAATGTTCTTTTAAATGGTTAGCTTTCCAAATCTGCCATCTGACACGTCTCTGCGATGCCCTGAAGCTGGGTTCCTGCTGTTGATCTTGTACATGGGAACCCCAGGAGGACCCTGCTCTGAATCCCCAGTCCCATGCTGATAGCAAGAGAGGGAGGCAGAGAAAAAGAGACCCTCACTGGCCACCACAGCGCCTCTGCACCCCCACATGCATGCACCCCTGCAACTCTGCAGGACCCTTCCCATGGAACTTTCCCCTGAAACTAGCAGGAGTCAGCGCCCCGGGCTGCTTCTGTGCTGCTAGAGAAGGCGGGTGCCCTGAAGCCCCACTCCTTTCTTCACAGGGGATGCCTGGAGCCCCCTTCCTCCCGCCTGCTCACTGACACTCGTGGAAAAAGCATATGCACCAGTCTCCTGCGACACACCTGCTGTAACTCTAATGACAAGGTTAGAACAGAAACCTAAAATAAGAGGAAAACCTCAAGACTCCAGTGGGACAGGCAGCTGTCTGAGTCTCTCTTCTCTCCTGGCACCCAGAATTCCTCCTACAGCTAAGAGGGGTGTGATGAAAGCAAAGAAAGGGACCGCTGAGATGGGAGGGGCCCTGTGGGGAGTAGGGAGGCTTCCCCATATATGTACCCACCAGTAGCACTTAGGCCCTGGAAAGTCAGCAGAGATACAGATATGGCACTGGAGTGGGGTCCTGGGGCAGCCGTCCCTGCTGAGCCTGGTGCCTACCCTCTGGTGGCAGGGCTGTGGGAAAGCCTTGGGATGCTAGGACCAGAATAATAGGGTGTGGTGGGAGTGAGGGGTGCTCTGGGAGCTTGGGACTGCAGCTACCTGCCCCTGGTACCGAAGTATTTTAATACTTTAACAGCCAGTTTGGTGGTCCTGGCGGCCCCCACTGAGCCCTAGCCTTGGGTTAGAGCCCATCTCTGCTGTAGCTCTGTCTTGTTCCCTGGAAAGGAGTTTGTTGACTGTGAAACCTGAAGACACATGCACACACAGACATGTGAATGTGTGTGTGCCTGCCTGCCTGAGTGAACTCTCCGGGCTCCCAGTGCTTCTAAGTGTCCAGAAAACCCACAGATACATGCCTACCTTTACACTTTGCCTGCCCTTGTCCTCCTGCCCCACCCCACCAAGTCCAGCTCAGAGACAAGTCCAAAGACACAGCTGATCCACTTCTGAGCCCCTGGCTCACCCATGTCCTGGGACTTCTTAACTCTTATCCCTCCTCTATCCTGTCCCAGACTTGTGCCCAGGAGCTGGCTGGCATAACTGGGGCTCTGAACATTTGGAAGGCTTCCATTTAAACAGTCTTCCCACCAGACTATCCTCCTGCCCAGCCAGCTACACCACTGGCCCAGCTCTGGGACCCCATCCCACTTGCCTTGGAAGATCAAAGCAGGCTACGCATCTGTTTTCAGTGATGACATCTGGCTTCAACAGGTGGTGATTTAGAATCTCAGCACTGGAAGGCCCCCAGGATCTCCATTCTGGCAGTCTCATTTTCCTCATGGAGACCCAGAGAGGAGGAGGGCGTCAATCTGGTGGCTGGGCTGAGACTGGAACCCCAGTGTCCACAGCACCTGGAATTTCACCAGGAGAAAGGGAAAAAGTGGACAAGGAGACTCATCTAAGCAGAGTTTTCCTTCTCCTCCTAGAACAAGCTATGGGTGGAGGAAGGAAAAGACTCTGGAGATTGATGTCTAATGGCTTTGTGGTCCTGCCCATGCCCATGCCTTGGCTGCTTCTCTGAATCTACATGGGGTGCCAGGATATCATGGTGTCTCAGGCAGACCCGCAAGAGGTAGCAGGGCAGTTTCAAGGGCACAAAGGATGCCTGATCGGGGAAACATTTTGCAACATTGATGCAGATGAGAGACCCGACAGAGCAGCTCAAAGAGCCTCAGTCTCAACTTCTTGCCCTGTGACTCCTGCTGTGGTTTGAATGTTTGTCCCTTCTGAAACTCACTTTGAAACTTGATTCCCAGTGTAACAAAATAGAGAGGTGGGGCCTTTAAGAGGTGATTGTGTCATAAAGAACTCTGCCCTCATGAATCCATTCATGGATTAAGGTATTAATGGGTTATCATGGGACTGGGTTAGTCATCAGGAGAGTGGGTCTGTTATAAAAGCCAGTTTGACACACTCTCGCCCTCTCACCACGTGATTCCTTCCACCACGTTATGACACAGCAAGAAGGCCCTCACCAGATGCAGCCCCTTAACCTTGGACTTCCCAGACTTCAGAGCTGTAAGAAATAACTTCCTTTTATTTATAAATTACCCAGTCTCAGACATTCAGCTAAGCAACAGAGAATGGACTAAGACAACTTCCTTCCTCTCACCCTCTCTTTAGCTGTTAAAGCTATTGCTACGCACAGGGAGAGAATGCAAGCTGAGTTTGTTTTTTCTCTGGGGGTGCTGTTTGGAAGTCTGGGGCTGAGGAAGGAGCAGTCATGGCCCCAGCCAGCTCCTGACATATGTCAGGGGGTGGGGGATGATGGGGAAGCTGTGCACCTAGTGTAGCTTTGCACTGCCGTGTCCGTCGAGCCCAGTCTCCCTTACAGAGCATCTGGAAGCCCTTGCAGCAGTCCATTTCCAGATGTTCCAGGTGTAGTCACCGTGGGCAACTCTGAATTCTCCTTCCATCCTCTCATATCTGGTCTCTGATCATTGGTTTCTTCCCCAAGATGTCTTTCCAGGGACTTCCCTGTTCCTTCAGCTCTGCTCGAACTGCTGAAGGGCTTTGGTTTTCTCCCCTTCACCTTGTTTCCCTGTAACACTGCATTCCTCTCCTATCACTCTGATCCCAAAGTCACAGTGAACGAGGTGGGATAGCCTTGATGGAGATGTTAACAGGTCTGTTTCTCCTGAGGATTTTCTCTCCACTCCATTCCAGCCACTGAGCCTGATTAGGAAGAGGGGCAGGACAGATGGTGGGTGGAAACAATGGAGCCTGCCTAGCTTTGTACCCTGCAAACCCCACACCTTGGAAGACATGAGAGGATGTAAGGGCTTATTGGAAATGTGGGAGCAAGATCTGGAATGGCAGCAGGCAGTGAACATCGAGGAGGGGCTTCCCTGGAGAGTTCCAGAAGGCAGCAAGATGCTAAGTGGGAAGGGCTGGGTAGCAAGTACAGGCAGACAGCCTACCTGGCTTCGCATACCAGGTGAGGCCCAGACCTGAGAAATGGGTCCTGGGTCTTGGCACCTTGCAGGGAAGAGGCAGAGGAAGGCAGGCCTGAGGATCACTTGGTGAAGAGCTTCAGGATGCGCCCACTGAGGCATGACCCTGTGGGTCAAATGCTTCAGGGAGATGCCATCACCTCTCAGCACCTGGGGTTATATAAACCCTCGTAAACCAGACTCCTCCTAGGGAAAATTGGGAGGTTGCCCCTAATTCAATGGGATTGTGTCTATTGCCACAGCTGAGTGGGAGGCTCAAGCCAGCCATTAAATTGCTATGGAAAGAGAAATGATTTTGCCTTGCATGGCTGAGCTGCAGCCCGAGCAGGGAACCTGTTGCACTAACACTGACAGGTCCTGGGCAGCGTCTTCTTTGATCCTCACCATTAGCTTCAGGAGCATATGCTGTGATTCTTCCCATTTTACAGACAAGAAAATGAGCCTCAGAGGCACCCAGCAACTTGCCCATGGTTGCAGGGTTGGTGCGAGGAAGCGATTCAGATGCAAGCCCATGTATTTGACTTTCAAGTCCGTGCTCCTCTCTGTCCCTCTCTGTACCATTCCACTTAGAAGGACATGGGGTGAATTTAAACATCTTAGCCACGATGTTGGTGGTTAGTCAGTGGGTCTATGCATGCCTTTGTCAAAAACATATGCTTCAGCCTGTGTTTTCTCTGTACCATCAATGTTTGGATTCTCTAGAAACCCAACCCCAGGGTATCCCTCCCCATCTGTCTTTTTGCCCTCATCACAGGCTTGGGAGCAGATCCACACCACTACAGCTGTGACTTGGAAGGAACACAGCCATCATTAATATCACAACAGTCCCTGCAATTCTATAGCACAGTGTTGATTTCATTGCACCACAGGGTAGCTCTAGGAGGCAGGGCAGGATTCGTGCTCATTTTATAAACAAAAATGCTGTGGTACAGGGCTGGACCTAGGCCCTATGGAGGATAGTAATATGGTTTGGATGTTTGTCCACTCCAAATCTCATGTTGAAATGCGATTCCCAGTGTTGGGGTGGGACTTGGTGGGAGGTGATTGGATCACAGGATGGATTCCTCATAAATGGCTTAGCACCGTCCCCTTAGCACCATCCCCTTGGTGATGGGAGAGTTTTTGCTCTGAGTTTACATGAGATCTGCTTGTTTAAAAGTATGTGGCACCTCCTCTACCTTCTTGCTCCCGCTTCCACCAGGTAAGACATGTCTGCTCCTGTGTCACCTTCCACGGTGAGTAAAAGCTCCCTGAGGCCTCCCCAGAAGCCGAGCAGATGCTGGTACTATGCTTCCTGTACAGCCTGCAGAAACGTAAGCCAATTAAACCTCTTTTCTTTATGAATTACCCAGTTTCAGGTAGTTCTTTACAGCAATGCAAAAATGGCCTAACACAGGAGCTGGAACTCAAAGGCAGATTCTTCTTTTTTCCCCAAAGTCATCTAAAGGTGCAAATCTCCTGTTACATTTCCTTGGACCCCAATTCGGACCTTAAAATAAGAATTTCAGGGAAGAGAGTGCACAGCCCCTGCCTCTTCAGATAAAGTTCTCTTGCTAGATATTTGCAAATTTATTTGAAGTCTTGGAACATTTTATTTAAAAAATCTTTATGCTGTAGGAAAAAAACAATGGATCCAAGGGGAGCGTTATGTCATGTCTACTCTCCATCCTACTCAGAGCCCCAAGGGTGCCGCTGGGCCTGGGTCAAGCACCATGAACCACACTCTCGTTCAGATCCCTGGTCTGCTACTCATCAACAGTGGCCCCAAGAATTTTGGCCAACTTCTCTGTGCCTCAATTTTCTCATCTGTACAATGGGAAAATAATACTATCTGCCTCGAAGAATTGCTGTGAGGATCAAATGGGCAAAAATGTCTGTTAAGTACTGAGAATAGTGCCTGGCATATAAGAAGCGCTAAATAAATAAATGTCATTCACTGGGCCACTGTGTCTTGGCTGATTTTTTCTTTTTTTTTTGATAGGGTCTCCCTCTGCTGCCCAGGCTGGAGTGCAGTGACATGATCTTGGCTCAGTGCAGCCTCCACCTCCTGCGTTCAAATGATTCTCATGCCTCAGCCTCCCGAGTAGCTGGGATTATAGGTATGGACCACCATGCCCAGCCAATTTTTCATATTTTCAGTAGAGAAAGGGTTTCACTATGTTGGCCAGGCTGGTTCGGAACTCCTGGCCTCAAGTGATCCAACCACCTCGACCTCCCAAAGTGCTGGAATTATAGGCATGAGCCACTGTGCCCAGCCTTGGCTGATTATTTTTTGAGGACTGAATCCATGTGTTGGCTGATTTAAATGGTTGTCTTGGTTAAAGAAATGATTAAATGGCATCATCCTAATGAATCAGAAAGGAAAACAGTCAAATGAATTGTGAGATTTAATTGGTCTGTTTGGGGTGGATTAAAATAATACTGATCAGATTTGGTGGATGTGGTTGCTTTGCACAGGGTGACCAGCCACCTCTGCAGGCATGGGCAGGCTGGGCTGTGAGCAGATCTGCTTCTGAGCCCCCACCAGTCTTCTGGGAGAAGTTTCCGTGGAGGCAACAGACATCAGATGGAGGCCCCGTCGCCAGCATTTCCTTGGTTGCTCAGGCCCTCTCAGAGCTGCTGTCAGGTCAGATCCTGGAAACTCTGAGTGGTTTCCCAGCTGAGGCCTTTGAGTGCTGCTAATTCATTCTGCCCTGTTTCCTCTGGGGGAGCTGAGCAAAGGGATGGATTAATCACTTTCCTCCTCTCTTCCTCCATGGGGTTCTTCTTAGAAGGGGTGGATTGGTCAGCTCTGGACAGGAAGGGTGGTGAGGGAGGACAAGGCCAACTATTTCACCTCCCACTCTCTTCTCCGAGGGCCCTAAGAAGTGGCTGGGGAGGGGACATCCAGGACCTGCGGTGCTTCCAGGACAGAGGCTTCAGGCTGCCATGGTTGCCCTGGGGTTGGCTGGAGCCAGGACCTCTCCGGAGAGGCACAGAGGGAACTTTAGGGGAAGCCACATTTACATCCAGGTGAAATCTGTTAGGCTGATGGTCAAAGAGGTAGGAAGGAAGCCAGAGAGGAAGTGAGAGATCTAGTTATGTTGCTTACTTCCCTGGTCAGTGGCTTCTATTGCCTTGAGGATAAGGTCTCCAATCTTACAGGCCTGACCTACCTGACCAGGCTGCACACCTGCCTTGATGTGTAAGGGCCCCTGTGCCACAAGCTCAGCTCCATGCCTCTTCTTGATGCTCCTTCTGCCTCGGGCCTTTGCACATTGTTGCTCTTCTCTGACCCTTTACCTGATGCAACTCCTCCTCAAGCTTCAGGCCTTGGGTGAAAGTCACTCTGGGAGAAGCCATCCTTGACATTCCTCCCCAGCCCCGGTCCAGACCAGACGAGTCTATTTGCTCTTCCCCTTACTGCGTATACTCCTTGATGTCTCCTTCAGGGTCTAAGCACAGTTGTAACTCTTAATTTAGTGACCATCATTCCTTTTGTAAGAGGACACTAGCGATGTCTGCCTGATTCATCATGACATTACCAGCCCAAGACAGAGACATAGTAGATATTTTTAAATGTGTGGTAAATGATAGATGGGCATTTTGGCCCACCCATTTTAACAGGTGCGTTGAAGATGGCAGAAGTTACAGGGAAACAGCATATGGCTTCACCTTTGGAAGATCTTTCTAGTACAGTTGGCCAAGAACTAAATGAATGTGTTGCTTTGGGGAGTAGTGAGCTCCCTGTTGCTGGAGGGGTGCAAGCTGAGGCTGAGTGACTGTATGTGGAAATACTTAAGAAAGAATCTGAGCTTCTGGTGAGGAGTGAGCATAGACCCTGGAACAATCTTTCCAACCTTGTGAAAGTGAGATTCTAAGGTGGCAGTGGGGTGATGGGGATGGGCTGGCATGGACTGGTTGCCTACATAAAAGCCCCTGTTTTTCTGTAGCCCAGAGAGGGAGCACTACCTCCTGGTCTCTGGTTTGTTCTTGAGTCACTGCCCAATCAGTAGGAACTTCTAAAGTCAGAGAGGCCAACCCAGTGCCCATACGGGCCAGGCTTGGAACATATATATGTGGGGATACCCAGGTGCCTAAAAATGAGGGTAAAGCATTGTGGCATGGGCACATGGTTATCAGAGAGGCTACAGGGAGTGGTGGGGACTATGGCAAATTAAAGGGTACAGACCCAATTTAAAGTGGTAACTTCAGGCTCTGGAGAGGCATAAACCTGATACTGTCTAGACATTTAGCTTTTTAAAGAGAAGCAGGAAATACGAATTTTTATATAAAATCGATTTTTCTCTTTCTTTCCTCTCTCTTTCCTTCCTTCCTTTCTCTTTCTTTCCTTTCTCTCTCTCTTTCTCCCTTCTTTCTTTCCTTCCTTCCTTCCTTTCTCTCTCTCTTTCTTTCTGCCCTCCTGCCTTCCTACCTTCCTTCTTTTTTTTTTTGTCAGAGTCTTGCTCTGTTGCCCAGGCTACAGTTCAGTAGCACTGTCTTGGCTCACTGCAACCTCTGCGTCCTGGGTTCAAGCGATTCTCCTGCCTCAGCCTTCTGAGTAGCTGGGATTACATGCCACCACGCCCAGCTAATTTTTGCATTTTTAGTAGAGATGGGCTTCACCATGTTGGCCAGGCTGGTCTCGAACTCCTGACCTCAGGTGATCCACCAGCCTTGGCCTTCTGAAGAGCTGGGATTACAGGTATGAGCCTCTGCGCCTGGCCAAAATCTCCTGATTTTCAAGTGTTAGCAACTTGTGAGCCAGACAAAATGCATCTCGAGGCTACATTTGACCCTCTGTTCCGATTCTAAGATCTGGGGATGACCTCTTCTTGTCCCCAAAACAACTGAACTTCTCCACCTTTCCTACCAGATTCCCTTTTCCCCCTGCAGTCCTGAGTCAGACGTCCTAGCTCACTGCTCTGTCTTAAGACCATCTCTTCTCCTTCTGCAGATGGCCTTGAACTGAATAGTGAGGGGCTCTAGCCAGGCCCGCCCCACAGGGCTGATCACCCATCCTCCAGCTGCTGGGACTTTTAGATGCAGATGGCTTACAGCTGCATTCTGTGGAACTGGAGACTGCTTCCCTCTGGGTCACATCTGCTGCCAGAGGTGCCGACAACCAATGACAATCTATTAGGATATGAAGGCCCACCCCGTGCCTCAATTTGGGACAATGCTGAAGGAGCATCTCAGCTGCAGAGCCCCCATAGGATGGCTGAGGCCTCAGATGCAACGTCATCATGGTTCACCTTCTCCCTTTCCCAGTCTGGCCTCGCTTGGCTCCTTCTGCAGGGATCATTTACAGAAGGTGTAAGGAACCAAGTGAGGCAGGACTGGTTCTTCTTCCTACACAAATCTCTGCATCAGTATCTCCAAAGGGCCCCATCTGAAACACCCAGCCTACCCACTCTTCTCAGAGACCGAATTTTTTCTTTTCTTTTTCTTTTTCTTTTTCTTTTTTTTTTTTTTTGTGACGGAGTTTCACTCTTGTTACCCAGGCTGGAGTGCAATGGTGCGATCTCGGCTCACCGCAACCTCCGCCTCCTGGGTTCAGGCAATTCTCCTGCCTCAGCCTCCCGAGTAGCTGGGATTACAGGCACGCGCCACCGTGCCCAGCTAATTTTTTGTATTTTTTAGTAGAGACGGGGTTTCACCATGTTGACCAGGATGGTCTCGATCTGTTGACCTTGTGATCCACCTGCCTCGGCCTCCCAAAGTGCTGGGATTATAGGCTTGAGCCACCGCGTCCGGCCCGAATTTTTTCTTACCAAAACTTCTTTCAGGAGAGGCTCTGATAAGCTGGTTCACATGGAGGTATCCATGGTTGATAACAGCTCAATGGATTTATTTTTCCAGAGTCATCTGCTATTTATGAGAATCTTAAGTCAAAGAGTGAATGAACTTTCTAGGTAATGAGGTAAGATTGGGGCATTTCTGATTTATCAGTGAATTAGGGACTGCGCCACACCAACAGTGTAAAGTAAGACGGGGTGATTCTAAGCCTCGTAAATGTTAATTGAGACATGCTAGACTGGCTCTTGAGATCTGCCATGTTGTGGCTTTTAAAGAGAGAATCAGCAAGGTGTGACAAATAGGGACCCAGCTAGCTCTGTGACTTTTCCTCTCTGGAGCTCAGTTTCATCAACTGATTAATGGTAATGCTCATTATAAAACTGTATCCACACATGAGCTTAATTAAGAAGAAGATATTAATATACACATTTTCGTACACACAGAAAAGTTAGATGTAAATGCCCTGGAATGGAGACTCCCAAACTTCCTCTTTTTATACTGCCCTTAGTGTCACAGTAATTTTTTTTATTATTTATGTGCCCCCAAGACAAAAAGAAATACCAAAGAGATCCATTGATTGAGTAGTTAAGTCTAAATAAATCAATGTGTATATCTGTCCTAATAGCTTGGTAGCCATTTAAAAGCATACACATAAAGGAAAAGATACTTTTATTCCATTCTTAACCACAGTTATTTACTAATGGGATGTATACTATGTTGGATGCTGCACAGCTTCTCACGCCTTGGGATTATATTGGACGCCATCACCTCATTTCCTCATCCGCAATGATTTGCACATGGTATTTGCTTTTTATCACAGCAACCACCAAAACACTTCGCAAAGATCTGACGTCACTGAAAGGAATGCATTGGGCCCTAATGCTGAAATTATAGTGCGTGGAGCATCCGGCAGCTGTCACTGCGTTTCCCACAAAATTGAAAATATCCCTGCTGCCACTCTGTGAATTGGCGATGGTGCCCCTGGGGGCCTCGGTGCACAGTTTGGGACCCATGTCCTCAAGTATTCAGAGAGTAAACTTTTAGATAATCTTTACTTCTTTCTACTCTTTTCCCATCCCTTACATAACAAGCATCTAATAATACTTAAATAAGAGCCAAATCAGAGAGATGGTTGTACAACGTTGTGGATGTATTTTAATGTTGCTAATGATAAATTTTGTCATGTGTCTTCTACCACAAAAAACTTTTTAAAAATCAGTGAAAAATGTAAGATTATACACACACACACACACACACACACACACATCCAACTTCCCTGAGGGGTTCAGAATTATATATATATAAAGGATTATATATATATATTATTATATTATAATATATATATTATATATATTATATATATATATATATAAACTCCTTTATATATATATATAATTCTGAACCCCTCAGGGAAGTTGGATGGATGAGGCAAGGGCAGGATCTGTGAGCTGAGATGCTGTTGGGAGTCTCAGCAGCCAAGGCTCTCGGCCTTGCATCCATCCAAATTTGTACCCACCCAGCCCTGCACCCACCCACCCAGCCATCCATGCCAACCCGCTGCCTGCTTCCCAGGGAAACGCACCTGCACCAGAGCATTTAACTCACCACTCTCACATGCCACCTCTCCCTGGAAGAAAGGCCTGTTTGCCGTTCTGCTGGCTGGCTTCCGTGTTGGTGCAGCTGGAAAAACCAGGCTCTGGGAACCCAGCAGACATGCTGTCAGGAGAACTTCCTTTGCAGTGGGAGGTGAGCCGAGGCAGCAGGAGACCACCGCTTTGAGTTATATCCCCTGACTCAACAGTGAGCACAGGGAATCTCAAATGTGATGTTTCTCTTATCGGTGCTATGCCTGTCCTTTCGGCCAGGTGGATCAAGTCATTTGCTGCTCTAGCTGCCACGTAAATGTGCAGAAAGATGGAGCTGCAATTCTGTGTGTGGTTGCATGTATACATGCTCGTGCCTTTGAGAACACAAGGCCATACTCTGTCCTTTGCTGAACCTCCAAGGGTAGCATCTTCTGCTAGCCCCATTTTACAGATAGGAAAATGATGGCTCATAGGGCCTCTAGAAATTGCTGAAAGGCCACCCAACTCATGGACTGAGCAGACATTGCTGGAAGCCCAGGTAGAAGCACAGTAAAGAAAAAATGCAAAGAACGAGATTATGATCTTAGCACTGGACCACCTGCTTCTTGGATGTGCCTCTTTATAGTCTGGGACAGGTCCCTTCCATCCTTCCTTCTCTGGGAGGAAGAGTGAGCCAGGACTCCCTGGTTGGCCTGAGGAGAACACTGGAAGGCATTCGTGTTGCCACCAGTGGGCAGCAGGAGCCAGGGGTGGAAAAGCACCTGGTGGGGAGTAGGGAGATGTGGGCTCCAGTCCTAGCTTGGGAAATGAGGTCAGTGTTCTCAGCTAGAGATTTTGCAGCAAGGAACTCTTTTTTTTTTTTTAAGTTATTTTCCCCATGTAGCACATAGATAAATTTTTTTTTTTGTTGAAAACTAAATTTGCATTGTCCAAGAAATAGTTACAATGTTGTGTGCTCTGGAGCGAGCACACCTGGCTTGTAACTGAGGCTCTGCCTTTCACTGTGACACTGGGTGAGTTACTCTAACATATTGCAGCTTCAGCATCTGCAAAATAGGGATCGCCTGACTTCTTAGAGCATAGACTCAGGAAGGCAGGTGCACTAAGAGGCTCAGTCTCATTCAATCCTAATTGCAGTGGTTCTCAAACTTTTAGTCTCAGCACACCTTCATATTCTTAAAAATTGAGGCTGGGTGCACTGGCTAACACCTGTAATCCCAGCACTTTGGGAGGTCGAGGTAGGCAGATCACAAAATCAAGAGATCAAGACCATCCTGGCCAACATGGTGAAACCCTATCTCTACTAAAAATACAAAAATTAGCTGGGTGTGGTGATGCATGCCTGTAGTCTCACCTACTCAGGAGGCAGAGGCAGGAGAATTGCTTGAATCTGGGAGGTGGAGGTTGCAGTGAGCCAAGATCATGCCACTACGTTCAAGCCTGGTGATAGAGTGAGACTGTCTCTACAAGGAAAAAAAAAAAGGTGAGACGATCCAAGATGGTCAAATAGGAACAGCTCTGGGGTGCAGTTCCCAGTAAGAACACAGAGGTTGCCGCAGGTGATCCCCAGGCAAGCAGGGTCTAGCATGGACCTCTGGCAGTCCTACAGCAAAGGGGCCTGACTGATAGAAGGAAAACTGAAAAACAGAAAGAAATAACTTCATCAGCAATAAAAAGGACATCTATTCAGAGACCCCATCTGAAAGTCACCAACTACAAAGACCACAGGTAGATAAATCCACAAAGATGGGAAGAAACCAGTGCAAAAAGGATGTAAACACCCAAAACCAGAATGCCTCTCCTCCTCCAAGGGATCATAGCTCCTCACCAGCGAGGGAACAAGGATGGATGGAGAATGAATGTGATGAATTGACTGAAACAGGCTTCAGAAGGTGGGTAATAACAAACTTCTCTGAGCTAAAAGAACATGTTCTAACCCAATGTAAAGAAACTAAGAACCTTGAAAAAAGGTTTGACAAAATGCTAATGAGAATAAACAGCTTAGAGAAGAATATAAATAACTTAATGGAGCTGAAAAACACAACATGAGAACTTCACAAAGCATACACAAGTTTCAATAGCTAAATCTACCAAGCAGAAGAAAGGATATCAGAGATTGAAGGTCAACTGAATGAAATAAAATGAGAAGGCAAGATTAGAGAAAAAAGAGTAAACAGCATTGAACAAAGCCTCCAACAAATATGGGATTATGTGAAAAGACCTAATCTACATTTAATAGGTTATCTGAATGTGACGGAGAGAATGAATCCAAGCTGGATAACACTCTTCAGGATATTATCCACGAGAACCTCCTCAACCTAGCAAGCCCAACCACCATTCAAGTCCAAGAAATACAGAGAACACCACAGAGATATTCCTCAAGAAGAGCAACCCCAAGGCACATAATTGTCAGATTCACCAGGGTTGAAATGAAGGAGAAAATGCTAAGGGCAGCCAGAGAGAAAGATTGGGTTACCCACAAAGGGAAGCCCATCACACTCACAGCAGATCTCTCGGCAGAAACCCTACAGACCAGAAGAGAGTGGGAGCCAATATTCAACATCCTTAAAGAAAAAAACTTTCAACCTAGAATTTCATATCTAGCCAAACTAAGCTTCATAAGGGAAGGAGAAATAAAATCCTTTATGGTCAAGCAATTGCTCAGAGATTTCATCACCACCAGGCCTCCTGCCTTACAAGAGCTCCTGAAAGAAGCACTAAACATAAAAAGGAACAACCAGTACCAGCCACTCCAGAAATGTACCAAATGGTAAAGAGCATCAACACAAGGAAGAAACTGTGTCAACTAATGGGCAAAACAACCAGCTAGCATCAAAATGGCAGATCAAATTTATACATAACAATATTAACCTTAAATGTAAATGGGCTGAATGCCCTAATCAAAAGACACAGACAGGCAATTTGGATAAAAAGTCAAAACCCATCGATGTTCTGTATTCAGGAAACCCATCTCACATACAAGGATACACATAGACTCAAAATAAAGGGATAGAGGAAGATTTACCAAGCAAATGGAGAGCAAAAAAAAAAAAAAAAAAAAAAGCAGGAGTTGCAATCCTAGTCTCTGATAAAATAGATTTTAAGCCAACAAAGATCAAGAGACAAAGAAAGACATTACATAACGGTAAAAGGGTCAATGCAACAAGAAGAGCCAACAATTCTAAATACATATGCACCCAATACAGGAGCACCCAGATACATAAAGCAAGTTCTTAATGACCTACAAAGAGACTTAGACTCCCACACAACAATAGTGGGAGACTTTAATACTCCATTGTCAATATTAAACAGATCAACAAGACAGAAAATTAACAAGGATATCCAGGACTTGAACTCAGATCTGGACCACGCAAACCTAATAGACATCTACAGAACTCTCCACCCCAAATCCACAGAATATACATTCCTCTCAGCACCACATCACACCTATTCTAAAATTGACCACATAATTGGAAGTAAATAACTCCTCAGCAAATGCAAAAGAATGGAAATCATAACAATCTCTAAGACCACAGTGCAATCAAATTAGAACTCAGGATTAAGAAATTAACTCAGAACTGCACAACCTCATGGAAACTGAACAACTGGCTCTTGAATGTTGATTGGATAAACAATGAAATGAAGGCAGAAATAAAGATGTTCTTCGAAACCAATGAGAATGAAGACACAATGTACCAGAATCTCTGGGACATGTTTAAAGCAGTGTCTATAGGAAAATTTATAGCAATAAATGCCTACATGAGAAGCAAGGAAATATCTAAAATCAACACCCTATCATCAAAATTGAAAGAGCTGGAGGAGCAAGAGCAAAAAAAGAAAAAACTCAAAAGCTAGCAGAAGACGGGAAATAACCAAGATCAGAGAAGAACTGGAGATAGAGACACAAAAAACCCTTCAAAAAATCAATACATTCAGGAGCTGTTTTTTAAAGATCAACAAAATAGACAGACCACTAGCCAGATTAATAACAAAGAAAACAGAGAATAATCAAAGAGATGCAAGAAAACATGATAAA